TACTTTTGTTTGTCTCTCCTTGTGGTATAAAACTAGACATACCATTATATCAATTAATAAAAGAATAGGTCGTATTTTTATTGTACAAACAACCTAAGAAGCTTTTATAGTAAGTCAAGACATTCATATATATATGGTTATATATCTCTATTATAGCAGAAAACTTACATTTCTGAAGGAATCAAAGCGAACATTTAAGTCAACATACCCAAATCAGAAAATATATTAGAGAAATTACAGATGCTTTCATAATACAGAGCACTCATTTGGGTATCTCTACCACAATCACCATCATAATGTGAACTTAGTAGGATAGATTATCTATATATCTCACTTTCAAGCAGACCATTTTTTCATTTATGTAGTTCTCTAAACGAATTGGCTTATTCTCAGCCTCCATGTTTGCATCCTCAACTAATGGCACCTTGGCTAGGGTGGAAACAAGGTTTGGAGACATCTCTTTGATTAAATAAAAATCCTAGAGTTAGAATTATGTTAATATATGTATATCTAGACCATTATATATATTGGTGCTTTTTCCCTCAGTAAGCTCGTCTCATGCAAGTAGAGCTCTATTTTTGTTCCTAGGCTCATGGACTTCACTCCATTTTGATTTTTGTTGGATATATATAATCCTTGACTAGAACAATTTGGTCCACTCCTTATTAATGTAGGTTTAAGTGAATGGTATACAAGGTCTGCTTCTATAATTCTTTTATTTTGGTATGGTGTATTACTTTCAACTCAAAAAGGGCAAAGATGCTATTAAATATATTAATTTATTCTCCTTTCAAAAAGATGTTAATTTATTTAATATTTTTATCATGTGCATTAGAAGTATTAGTAAAGGATATGTATGTATATATATTTAAAGTAACTAATCATAAAAGATACATGTCCAAACGGGTAAACATATTTTTTCAATTATAATTTTATTTTTATTATTTATTTTGTTAAATATCATATTTAGATGAATAGTTCATGTTATTTTAAAGGTTATAATACATTTATATAATTAAAATTATTTAAATTAAATTGTGATGCCATCAAATAAATTATTTTCTATGTAATAAAGCAATGATAATGAAATGATAGTAAGATAATGAATTTAATATGATAGGGTTCATGAGAAGTAAATATATTTTAAATTACACATAGGTTCCCGAGAAAATGTATATACATAAATATATATGGATTATGAATGTTTGGTATAATCATATTCCATTAAATTCACTTGATAAACATTGAATTGGGAAGACCTAATTATTAATGAAAACAATAATGCCTATCAATTAATTTGTTAAAGGAATCCTAAGCTATTGAAATTTAGTATTATATATAGTGTGAACAGATTTTGTGCTATGATTTTGTAGATGGTTCAATAATGACTTGAAATATAGGTGAATGAATGAATTAAAAGTCATTTTGGAATATTATTGAAGATGTTATTGCAATTAATCATGGACCATATTTTGCTCCATCAAAATATCTTTATTTAATACATAAAATCAAAATCATATTTTATATTTAATAGTGCATGAATTTTAAATAATTGGAATTAATTAGCCCAATCTTTATCATCTTTATTATCTCAAATCTTCAAGGTTAAATTCTAAGTGGTAATTAATTTTTTATTAAAAAAAAAAAAAAGGCAAAAAGAAAAAATCTACCGAGACAACCGGCTATAGCCGGTGAGATGATCGAGACAGAGTAATCGAAAATAGGAGACGTCACCGGGAATCCCAAACAAAAGATAAAAAAACATTCAACACTGTTCCCTTGAAGTTCAGGGTATTATCAGATTTGGTTTTTGTCCATAATAAGGAGGGAGATTTATATATAACTAGTAAATATATGCGATACAAAGCTTTTACGCCCCAACTCTCTCATGGTCTCTTTCTCTGTTCATATACTAATTTTCTCTTCCACTAATTCTTTTCCCTCATTATTTTCTCTGCAAACAAAAGCAAAACACTAAACGCCTAACACTTTGTGTTCTGTACGAGCAGCAAAAGCAGTTTTTTTATTTTCTCGTTTTTTCTGTTACGAAACATCTGAATATTACCCTTTACAGCACTCCGGTTTCTTTGCTGCGATCAGGAAGCGTTTTTTTTTTTTTTTTTTCTTTTGGCAAGAAAACAGTTACAGCTTTAGGAAGAGAATGCAACGGAGTTCAGCGGGTTTGAGTTTGACCCGAGTGGTTTAATGGGAACCGGGTTATGAGGTTTGGATCGAATTGTTTTGTTCTTGAGTCGTGAAATGAGTGAAGCTGAGATGGGTTCAGTGCTAAAGCAGGCGCTTAAGAGACTTTGTTGCAGTAATGGGTGGTGTTATGGGGTTTTTTGGCGCTTTGATAAGAGAAATTCCTTGTTAGTACTCGTTTTTCGTTTCTTTTTCAGTTTTGCATGTTTTGTTTGCTTAAGCTTTTTTCTTCTTTCTCATATTTTCTACATTTTTGTTTTGCTTTGTTTCTCTCTCTCTTTTTTTTTTTTTTTCAATTTTTTATAGTTATCTTTTATTATGTATTTTGTTTTTTGTTTCCATGTTCTAATGAAATGAGCTTCAAATTCTTTTTCAAGATCTAAGTTTAGTCGTTGCATTAATTTGTTTTCTTATCTTCTATCCCTTTTACATTTTTGTTAAATTTGCCTCTTGAGAATTTTTTCAAAAATCTTTTTTCTGCAGCATTTCTTTTCACCAAGATTCTAATGAGGATAGTTAGATACCATCTTTTTGTTTTCTTTCAACTTATGTTATTTGCATGGGATCAAAAATTCACAGTGCCCCATTTTTAACATTTCATCTTGGACCAAGATTCTAATGAGGATAGTTAGATACCATCTTTTTGTTTTCTTTCAACTTATGTTATTTGCATGGGATCAAAAATTCACAGTGCCCCATTTTTAACATTTCATCTTGGAGATTAAACATGGGAAATAGTAAATAATTTGTCAAAAGTTTCTTAACTGTGAACGTCTGTTTTACAATGTTAATAGGTTGTTGACTTTTGAAGATGCGTATTACGAAGACCAGATGGGAACAGTGGTTAATCACATGCTTCTACAGGTCCACATGCTTGGCAAAGGGTATGCTCACAATATAACTACTAATTGTTATCCTGAAGATATTGTCATCAATTTGAAAATTTAGGGCACCAAATGATCTCCTGTGGGGTTAATCACGTCTTTCTTGTCTGAATTAGAATCATTGGGCAAGCTGCTTTGGCTGGTAGCCATAGTTGGGTGTTCTTTGATACTCATGGTGAACAGTCCAACTCAATTGGTTCTGTTACAAATCAAGATATATTTCAGGTTTTTCTTTTTCTTATGCACTATTGAATATTTTTAAGCTTCATCACAGCAAATTACAAAACTTCTCCTAGTAGTTTGCAGCATTTCTTGTTTAGCGGTTATAATTTTGAAATTCACTTCAAATTTTCTTTTCATTCTGTAGGAGGAAACCAGCACCGAGTTCCATCATCAATTTTCTTCTGGAATAAAGGTTAGTATCTTCGTTGTTATTAAATATGTGTGAGAAGACAAATTGCGTTAGCATATATTATGCCTTTGTGCGTATCATTGCAATTTGTAATGTTATTTGAGCTGTTTGTATACCATGGTTATATCAAGTTTGGTACATGTGGTTCCTTTCTTCATTCAAGCTAAAATTTTTAACAATTACTCCCATTTGCAGACGATTGTCACAATCTCTGTTGGATCACGAGGAGTCGTACAGTTTGGATCCACTCAGAAGGTTAGTACAATGGACATAAGTAATAATTTAACCCTTGGTTTAGCGGGAGACAAATTTTGTTATATCAATGACTTGATATGTGAGGCCTTTGTGTTAACCACTTGACCAATTTGCTTCAGAATCCTAATTGCACAAAGTCGCAATGACCATGAGAGCCTAAAAAAGTAAAGCATTATCAAGTTTTCTATTAACCAATTATGCTGTGTTACTTGGTAGATCATAGGCCAAGAGAAATTACTTCTCATTATGGTAACTCCAAACTGAAAAGTTGGTATGTTAACCATGATGCAGTCTTATAAGGAAAAGGTGTCAAATTCATTAGATTCTAAATTGAAATTCTCAATGAAGTAAATATTTGAAGTCTGTGCTTGAGTTCTATTTAATCTAATGCAAAAAAAAAAAAAAAAAGAAACACATAATGTACTGAAAGCAGTGGTAATTGGTTATAGGTTTTGGAGAGCTTGGAATTTTTGGATCAAACAAAAAGAATGCTTCAAGGCATGGAAAGTATTGATGGGCTTATTCCACTGGAACATGCATCGTCATCTTCGGACTTTTATGATCTTGATGGGTTGTTTGCTACATTAATAGCATCAGAAAATTCTTCCAGTGGGAATCTGGTCCAGGTGTATGGTGGCAGCTCAACTGAGTTGATAGGAAATGCTGCTTGTTTGTCAGCAAGCCCATCTCAGTCTTCTTTCACATCTGATTTTTTCATAGGGAACATGACTCCCATACATGGGGATTCATGTCATGTTTTCAATCAATTACAAACAGATGTTCCAGAAGCTCAAGGCGAATTATCTAGTAAGCCTAATACCAAGATTCAGAGTTTTGGCCTACCTACATCTTCTGTCAACAACTCAGTTGACAATGTTCCTTCTAATAGTGCATGGAGTGATGATTCTATTTTGGCAGCATTTGAACCAATATCACTGCCAGAAAAAGGAATGCAAGATCTTCCAGGTGTATTTGTTGCAAAAACAGACACTCTTGTATCTCGAGGATCTGCAATAAAAAGTTGTCTAGGGGAGTCAAATGTTTCCTTGAAGTATCAATACAGATCTGGAAAACTGACTCCTGACCAAAATTGTCCTCTTGAAAGAGCAATTGACCATCCTAATATATCTGAGAAATTTAAGGAAGCTGATTTATTGGCTGATATCTCTAGCGCCTTTGCAGTGGATGATCTGACTCAGTGGTTTGCCCTGTCACCAGAATACGACATTGACAAAATACTAAATGCAGCAAATGATTATTATTCACAACCCCTGCATGTCATGTCAGAGTCATTTGGGCTTATTGGATTGAATTCTTTAGCTGACAATCCAATCAAATGTTCAGCCAAATCTGCACAATGTTCTGATGCTGATACTGTCATATCTGATGGACAAGAAGTGTCCATGATAATCCAAAATGTTGAGAATGATCTCTTTGATGCTTTCGGACTGAGTGTTGCGTGTCACCAAAGTGGGGAGAGTTGGGAAGAAACTTTAATGCCAGTAGTGAGTGCTGTTCGCTCAGCTAGCAGTAGTGGCGTAGCAGAACTCAAATCAGAGTTTGAGGTTGGTTTCAAGACCACTCCACAGGAAGGATTATTTTCTGAAGGACTTAATGAGCTTCTAGACAGTGTTGGTACTTCCAGTTCTACTAAATCTGGTTTAGAGGAGCATTTTTCTACTACTAAAAGAAGGAAAGTAGAAGGTTCATCATCTAATTGTAATCAAGTTGAGTTGGTAAAAAGTCTTTCTTGCTCTGCTGGAAGCATGAATTTGAAGCAGCCCTCATCAGATTGGAACAAACTAAATAATAATGGATCCAAAAAGGAAGTTCTTCCAAAGTCACAGGTGGGTTTGTGGATTGATGATAGCTATAGCATCAATGCTGGAAATGCAGTAATAAAAACTACTAAGAAGCTCGAGGAGCCAATGAATACTAACAGGAAAAGGGCTAGACCTGGGGAAAGTACACGGCCAAGGCCAAAAGACCGTCAGCAGATCCAAGATCGTATCAAAGAGTTGAGAGGAATAATACCCAATGGTGCAAAGGTACATGCTTAACTCTCTGCTTTTCGGATTAACATAAGTTAGGGAAAAAGTGCATCAAAAAATTGGAATATTATGAAGGATTACAGTTATTGTTTTTTTTTTTTTTCGAAAGGTATTCTCTACCATACAAACTGTAGTATTTGGTGCTGATATTTATGTTCTTATTTTCTACCATGCAAACTGTAGTATTTGGTGCTGATATTTTTGTTCATTCTTTAATAAACATTTTGCGGCTAATTTTACAGTGTAGTATTGATGCTTTGTTGGATCTCACGATCAAATACATGCTTTTCTTGCAAAGTGTGACAAAATACGCAGACAAGCTTAAACAGACTAATCAGCCAAAGGTAAGCAGACTTTCTTTTATTTCATCTATAAAATTCAATCTGAAAAGAAAAAGAAACAAGCACATTCCCATGATTACTACTCATCTCAAATGATTTTGTAGCTAATTGACCGGCAGCATGGACTTCTAAAAGACAGCAATGGTGAGAGTCACGGTGACAGTAGTGATGTTGATGGTGGTGGTGCTACATGGGCATTTGAAGTTGGAGGAGAAACAATGTTTTGCCCAATTATAGTTGAGGATCTTAGCCCCCCTGGTCACATGCTTATAGAGGTACATGAATGAAAAAAAGTCCTTTTTTAATAGCTCGAAGAACCTTCCATTACCGGGACTCAGTTCAAATTTTCTTCTTATGTTTGGTTTCAGATGCTTTGTGAGGAACAAGGATATTTCCTTGAGATAGCAGACAATATTAGGGGTTTCGGGTTGAACATACTGAAGGGAGTTATGGAGGTTCGGAAAAGTAAAATATGGGCCCACTTTGTCGTTGTGGTAAATACAAAAACACTAGACCTTAAGCAACAAATTCAGACGACATAAGTACAATTTAGAAAATTGATTGGAAAATGTTTTACAGGCAAACAAGCATGTAACACGGTTGGATATATTTTGGTTCCTAGTCCAGCTTCTACATCAGACGGATATTAGTGAGATTGATTCCACAAATCAAGGAGGTAACATCATGGATAGCACATTAAATGGTTGTCAACAGCCTTTGCTTCCGCCGCCCATGAATCTGGCTATGACCTATCAACTGGGTGCTCTATAAAAAGATTCTGTCGATAACTTTCTGTAAAGCAGAGGTGATGGATGAAGATGAAAAGGAAGTTCCATGTTCCATTTTAACAACCTAATGAGAAATGGAAATGGAAATGAAATTTGTTTGAGTAGGAATCATTTTTGAAGGATTGACAAGCCATCCTGAGTAGGAAAATGCTGAAGTATACAGCTTTATAAAACTAAATAACTTTAGGAGAAAAAAACCTGGATAGGAAGTTTTCTTAGCATTGATTGGGTGTATCTTAGGTTACATACTAGTGAACAGACATGAGGTTGCCGAAAAACTCTATTTGTTTTTGTTTGCAATTTGTTTTGGCTGCTACTGCCATAACCTGTTTATAGTCTGATGCTAATAGAAAAGTTATAGGCTAACTACCAAATTGTTTCATGGCCTTTCTGTTCCTTTTAGAACAGTCGTAGAAATTTTTCTATCCACCTACAAGTAACCTTCCCTTATATTGTTACTGGCCATCAAAATCTATGGGAGACTAAATTCTTATTTTTATTTGGATAGTTCCTAAATTTATTCTTCTTTTTGACAGTGCGAGTTCAAGTTCTGAATTGTGTGTTTCGTAATTTAAAGCATTCATATTTGAAAAAGAAATTTATTAAAGAAAGTAAGTATTTATTTATAACTATTACCAATTATGTTGGTTGGTAAAAGAAAAAGATGAATAATGAAAAGTAAGGGGGGGTTAACATCATCTGGTCAATATGACGAACTTCAAGAGAGGTTATTAAGTAAATGTTATAAAATTACAAGATATTGATGATGGAAGGTGATGTAGAATATTGTATTGTGTATTA